ATATCTAGGAATGACATCGCATAACATTACAATTTCAACATGGCACATTAAACCAAAAAAAAAAGAATCTCTCAATTATTGCTTGATAATTTATATTTCAGACGATGCTGAGGAATAGCACCCGCTAGTGATCAGTTACGACGCGGCATTTAGTGACGAAGACGGTCATCAAGCGCAGAATCTATATGGAACAATCTCGCAGGTGTGACCGTATCTTATTGTAATTATTTTCAATAATAACGTCCCTTATTGTCGCCAGGGTCAATGATGGCGGCACATACAGATGTGAAACGTATATCTAGTGTTTGCACACAAGCAATGTGATGACCAGCTATATCATCCGGGGTGGTCTGACAAAAAACCGCTCATCATCAAATGACTTTTCGTCCGAGAGAGGGGTTTCTGCTCTGTAAATCATAACGTAGAAGAAAACAAAAAAGAATCTAGTCATAATTGTGTCGAATTGTATGTTCGTTCAGTGGCAGTGAAAATAAGCGGCAGAAATAGTCGCATGCTGTGGGGTTGTAGAATGCCACCAGGCAAATGGGGTTGCAGCGTGTTTTTATAACTTCAGTTTTGCTATTTTCGAACTGTATGTCTGTTCATTTGAAAATGCCGAGATGATTGATCATTAGCGTCACAATCGACTTGCGATGAGAGCAGCCGGGAGAGTCACAGACGGCGGCGGGGGGGAGGGCGGGGGGTCGTCAGGACACAGGCACGCAATGCGGCTGGCGTATTTCACCGATGGATTTTGTCCTTTTAACTGCCATTTAACAAGAAATATATAGGAAATAATAGGTAGAGCAAACGATCATTTTGCACGAATGCTGAAGTGCTGCTAGCGATATCACGTTTAAACGACTTCGCATATCTTCAAAAACGAGGCTTAAGTCTTACACACCGTTTTGCTATAACGAATAAGAAATGACAAATACAACCAAATGTGCTTTATGCCGGGCACTGCTCGTATTGGAAACGAGAATATAGAACCTGTTTCTTTTATGGGCTACAGGTATTTTCAAATCTTCTTAGATGACATCTTTTCATAAAGGTGTTTGTGTCGAAACTAATCGGCCTACATAAACGCGGTAAATCTTTGACAGGATGCCCCTTAGAGAGTTGCTGTCCTTACTTTAAGGTTTCTCCGTGTTAAAAGATAAAACATCATTAAGTGAGCTAAGAAGTTGACAAGTAATATATATATAGTGTCGAGTTCGTAAGAAAAAGAGTCTGCAAGTTTACGCACGAGTGGTTTGTCGAAAATTCGTTTAAACAAGTCTTTTGATTATTGAGTTATATCGACGAAAGGGTTTTCCTATATATATATATATATATATATATATATTTGAAGTGTTCTTTGTTATTTTTCGAAAGCTTTCCCATGTGACTCGATCATACATAACGTTAAATGTCAAGAACTTATCTTCATTTCAAGTTCTACCTATCATACTATTCTCCATCCTGCCGTACCTGTTGTATTTACTATTTTTATGCATGTGTTTGGAATTCACTATTAGCGGGATGAGTTAATTACGGCACTGCTGAACAAAATGTCTCACTATTGGTTATTATAGATTTCTTGTTTCTTAACAGTCATTAGATAACCACGTACGATGACCGTCGCTTATTACAGACTGATACCTCTTTACCGACCTAGTAAAACGTCTTAGTTAACTGTGTCAAGTGTGCGTGTACATAAAACGTTTTACTGAAAGTCGTTTACTATGCATGGGGTCCGAAATTGTCACAGTCGCTGGGCGTTTAATAGACTACCAGCTTTCGTCCATCGTAGTCAAGTCCTGTAACAACAAACTCTATGTTAGTTACACCAGATATCAAACGATCCCGACACACATTTCAGACTACTCTGACGTACATAATCGAGTGATTTACCGATTTACTCATGTACTCTGTCTGATTCCAGTGCTTCAGGTGGTTCCCACAGAACTCCAATAATGTGACGGAACAATCCCGTTAAACCTGCTACGGCAATTAAACTTCATCGTTTTCTTCGACGGCGATGTCGAACACGGTCGTCTGTGCTTTACGGGCAAAGCGACACTGGTAACGAACACGTCAGCATCGCAGGACTACGGTCGACCGAGACTATTCGATTTTGCCCTGAGAAGCCGCCGAAATCGGAGTCACAGTACGGAAGGAAGGTAAAGGCCCACAGCTGTCGTGTTTTTTTGCGCGCTGCTTCTCTCTCCAATCGGTTCGCCGTCCGCAATCCGGCGAAGTCGGCCGGCGAAGCATTCTAATTCACTTCTCAAATGCACTCTTCACTAATTTGAACCGCATTGGAGACGTAACCACTCCTTAATACCAAGATATCATCAACAACAGCGGTATTTATCGTTGTACCATCATCTTCAACGGCGACAGTGCGTTCATTTACCTCTTCGAAGAATTCTCATTCCTATATATACATATATATATATATATATATATATAGAGCAGGACACCTAATCCAGAGATTTTTTTTTATTTGTTTAGAAGGCTGTATCTAAACAAAGACATTTGTTTCAGCAAACCTTCTACATGTGCTAAAAGTGTCGTTTTTTCAATATAACTACCATTTACTGCGATTACAACTTCAATTAGAGATCTAAACAGCTCAGCTATTTCTATAATATTATTAGCCGTATTACTAATAATACCGATAAGTATTTCTAAGTGTAAACTCGTTAAAGTATCACTTAAATATGCTAAATATAGAAAAATCCATCTGAATTATATTTTGTGCTTAAAGCACCCCCGAAAACTGTAAGAGTTCAAATTGGCTTAAAAGTCCAAAAGGTGTAAAAGGGCACCGAAAATCTTGAGTATACGATCCGGTTAGCAATGGCGATGTCCTGCTGTTCAAAACTCCTAACAATTTTTGTGCAAAAAGGGTCCAGATGTACCAAGACTGGCCCTTTCAATCATTTTGATGCGTTTTCCAGCCCTGTAAATCTAAACCTTATTGAGAGCTTGCATGAAAATTCTTTCTGACTTTTTTGCAAACTGCGTGAAAACTAGCAATGACGCAGACCATCGCTTTTTGGCAAAAAAAAAAGTTTTTAATCCTCACGGAGGACTCGTGCTGTGTGAAGACACTGCATAATAGCTAATTTTCGTTCAAATTCAGGGACAAGTCATATATGCTGTCGCTGTTTTTTTTCTTTAGGTGATAATGTGCCATAAAAATCTACATCCTGAAACCCTCGACAGCTTAAATTACAGCCCTATTTCCGAATAAATCGGACTGCCTGTATAACAATGTTGCAATGAGTAGTTGTTAGAGGGGGAACAAATCTTGCAGTGAAACCGATGAATGGTGCTAGTGTCAGATCGGCTGATCGTATCCGCTTAAAACTACTCAAGGCGGACCCTTCTCTAGATGGAACTCATTCGTCGAAGTCAGAAAATTAACAGAAAAAAGACTTGAATTAATAATGGGCGACGCGAAGTAATACTAGGGTATGACAGCGTTACCCCGTACATTGCCTTGTGGATCCAGCGAGCACTAACATATTCCAGTGGGCAACTCTGCCTAGGCGTCACCTATTTCGACCGATGCGGCATAACTAATAGGGCAAACTAATAGGGTCCTTCGCAGAGCACATCAACTGGAAAAATATTAGGCGGAAGCCGTAGAAAGCAAAGGGACATCGCATTGACCTAAGCCTGTTCACTTGCTCAAAGATTATTAAACCGCTACAGGTGAATAGGGCGGACTTTGAAATTAAATAACCCTATACGCGCCACTAGGGGCAAAGTGTGGCTGGTAAATGTTCCAGCCGCTCGACCACTTTTGGGGAAAATCAGTCAACTTACGTGTATTGAGTTCAAAAGAAAAAAAAAACATTTTTTTAGTCTCTAAAAGTGTAAGCCAGGTTCATTTCTCGAAGGCCACAGCGCTGTGGAAATTCATCAGAGATAGAAGGTCAAAGACGGTTGTCTTCAGTAAAAGCACAGTACATGAATGCTGGAAACGTTTCAAGAACGGATATTGGAGCGCTGAAAGGTAGCCAGATGTCAGAACCCGAAGTACACAGGTACCATTTCTGCACTCAGAGGCTTTTACGAAAGCAGAGATAATAACCCCGCGGACCAAAACAAATATTTCATATGCAACCTGTTACCAAACTAAAGATCGAACATTGAAAATGCACGAACTAAAAAAGAGGTGGATTACTCGTCAGCTTGCTTAAGAATAGCTAGCAACGCGTTAGATCTATTCCGGATGCAATTTTAGTCAACAAAAAGCCGCTTGGAGCACACAGTTACCATAGGCTGCGCACGATTCGACCTTCACCGCCAGCCTGAGAGGGACCATGTGAGAAAATGACATCGCTTAGGAGAGAGATTGAATTTCGTGCAAATGTCGAGTAGGTCCGGGCATAAGGTGATGCTAATACTTATAGAGGATATCCAGGGGCATCTACAATCATGAGATACTCATCGAAAATAAAACAACGAATCCAATCCGCTATCTTGAATACCTCAAAAGACTCACGGACCGTTGCCATGGCAATCGGAGACACGAAGTCTGGATACTTAATGATTACTACAAATCTCGTCGCTGTCTCTTAATCACTTCCTGAGTCGAGTGAAGGTATATCCAACTCGCTTGTTCTTCCGATTACGTCTACGTGATTACAGGGCATTCCATGCTCTAAAAAGGGGCAACTGGCATATTTCGCTATTGATATACTTCGAGAATCCACAAGTAAAAAAGTTACGTATAGGGATGTAAATGTTTGGTATATAGCTCTCCAGAAATTGCTAGACTGCTGGGGTAGGTATGTAAAAAGACAAGAGAGTATCCCTAACGCGTTGGAAGATCATCGTTCTGCCCGGACTAGTTCAAAAGTAATTCAGTTTCGAATTCCGCCAAATTCGCTTGTAACAGCGTCGTGTAATAAATGAAAGTGGTTACAAAAACAGCGGGAATTTTCTTTTCAAGCTCGTACTAATACTGGCACCTTGTTATGTTCTTATTTTAGGTGTTATTAGAGTGTGTCAATTCTGCGAAGCTGGCGGCAGAGGTGTTCCACCACACGATACAGAGCACTCTAGTTGGATTATATTACTACTACCAATGCTTCTGGAACGGGTCTGTTCTAGCTCCACTTTAAACAGTAATTGAGCCATACGCGCAGATAGACCCAACGCAGAACCGTTTGCTCATTCTCCGAAGAACAAAAGACGAATGATCCTTTGCAGAAAGACGGTCTGTCGCCCGTTTCTCTATAGCTTCACCCGGCGCTCACGGAAAGATCGGAGCGGGTGACGTCGCCGCACTACCAGTCAGTAACATGCGACGAAATGTTTAGTGGGATGTTTTCCATTGAGCGTCTAGTGTCATGTTATTTTTTCCAGGTAACGCAGACGAATGCAACTGATGAACAAACGACCACAAGAGGGAGCTGCGTAATATTGGCACCTTTGCTAAGCGAGTCCGCAATATAACGAAGAAATAAACGCGCAACCGAATAAGTGATCTGGCCGAACGGAGATGCTTTTCAAATGGCACGACACAAAGGCCGTTGTTTCATGGTAGGCGTGAAACAGGACCGAGCCGTCTGCTGAATACAATAGATATATTCATAGGGACACCACAGCTATGATGGCTACATATGGTTACTTTAAATGGCATAGGCGTGTCTCTGAGTGTGTTCATTCAAAAAGTGTCGTTTAGAGAATACGAGTCGATTGAAGAACAAAACATGACGCTGGGTACTTATGATAATCAGAATTATTGAGGGCAATGTATGTCATTTTTAGGCAGAAAACTGCATGTAGATACGTAACGATCATTAGATGCTTGAAGTACTTCAATCGAGCGTTGCTGAAGGCGGTTGGTTTTCAGCCGGTGTCCAGGAGACAAAGCCTTGCAATCGAATGATCGGGACAGATTTCTCTGAAAAGGAGGGCGTTACGCGCTTCATTTCTAAATGCTTTCCTAAAACGATGTTAAGCTATATTGAATTCATTTTCTTGAAGACCCTATATCTATATGGTCAATAGCATACTTGACCCGGTAGTAGATTTATACCAAACACACATACACATAACCCAAATCAGATTCGCTCATGTCCATAAAGACATTACGCCGTGTTTAATATTCCCGAGCACGCATCCTATTAAATTACATTCGTTCTTCTTACTATTTTCCAGTTCTCATAGTCGCATCATTCACGTCTCCTGCATACTGAAAGTCGTCTCGACGTACCCAGGAAGGCCGCAGTCAGCCGCGTCAGTAATTAATCGGTAGCACGTTTCCTCATGATAAGAGGGTTCAATTTCGAAATACGACAGCAGCGCCACTTACCGTTGTCTTACTAGTGGGCCAACATATTTGTGCTTCTGCTATACACTCTTCAACTCGTACAATTTCGTGATTGCCATCAATACGCTTCAAAGCGATTACATGATGCTTTAGAAAAAGATGCTTCTCACGTTGATGAGATTGAGTTCGAAAATGATGGCGGTATCGATGACGCTTATATGACGGCTCTTCTCGTCGATACTCTATTTCATATTCTTGTTTTTACACGACCCTTACGCACTTCCTCGCTTAATAGAATCGTTTACACGTCGATCTGGGCCGCTGGCCACACTGATTAAGCCATCAGCCTCATCGATAGCAAAACAGGCAGATAACAGAGAAAAAATCTACAAGATAACAATGAACTTTCGCGACTGCAAGGGTCGTTTAACAAAAATAATTTTAGAACAGTAAAAGGTAGTAATCATCATCATCATCACCGTCATAATCAGTGAGCATTAGCGGGCCATGCCGAGAGGAATTATAATCGACGCCGTACACATAATAATAATAATAATGCTAATGACAAGATTCCTTCCTATAATCTAATCCTTCTGTTCCTCTTCCCCTCTAGTGTGTAACTGATTATCTACGAAGGTCTTCTGCTTCCCTGCGCTTATAACTGCATGCCTTATCCACCACGAACGCCTGTAGCACTATTAGAAACCAAGCTAATTGACCAGCTTGCGGCGAGTGTCTCGGCATCCGTTACAAAACACAGCTAAGTTATCTAAACGAAGGACTCATTCTAGGACGGGCGTGCCTCCGAATACTGAATGTTGCACCTGTGTACAGATGTTAAAATACGGGGGAGGAGAATAAAGCGAACTGAGGGAAAGCGACGACAAGTAGCATCTTTTTCAGCTGTGGCCTGCTGCGGCCGCAGACTCCAGGCCATAGCAGGCCACAGCTGCAGCCGAATCATTGAGCAAATTACGTCCAATGATGTCTCAATCAGTGTAACTATACAATTGAATGGCTCGACCAAGGTGACAAGTCAGTGTAGTGGTCCGTAAGCGTGATATTAGTATAATGACGGGTCGGTCGGTTGGTTGCCTATACTTTCCCTACGTTTTTTACAAGCCGTCGTATTTCGTTGGCGTCGTTCGCCGAAGCTGTAGTGTGTTCTTTTTTTTCCAATATTACCGATTTCTTCGATTTGCTTGCCGCTGCTCGCTCATTTAGCTTGGCCTCAGCGTCGTCCCATACCCTTCCTATCCATCAATGGAACACAAATGCTGCGCTCCGTGGTGATGGAGCAGCATTCTATATGTGACGTATAGAAGTCCGGAAACAAATTGACTGTGAGATTGACAAATTCGGTGAATCGTTGTACCGTTTGTGGTTACTATTTGGCCTCCTTCGTATCGCATGGTCGGTAGGACGCATCAGCATCCGACGTTGAGGTTGAACAAGCTCGTTCCTTTTTCTTTTTCCTTTCTATTTTTCTTTTTAGCAACCCTTATTCGAATGACTAGCTATTAGGTTTCGCAGGAAGCTGATGACATTATGGATGTTGATATGAATAGTGATGGAAATCTAAAGGCTCTGTAAGAATATCGGGATACGAAGTTGTTGCAGCGGCATGAACTAGGGATGGTGGTTGTACTGTTGCGCTAGCACCTTTCACTGTTAATGATTACATGGCGGTATTTCCTCGTTCTCGTAATACTAAGGACATGACAATGTGCCTAACTAAGGATTATAAATAGCGATATTTCAATAAAATAATGGTTGTGACATTATATTTCAGACGTACTCAAGAACGCAGTTCGAGTTCGTGATGATCATGCTTATTCATGGAAAACTGCATTAACAATGGATGATGAACTTAATGAAGACACCTTGCCTTTAAGCAAGGTAAACTGACCTAATTAAATGGGCCATACTACAAAATACCCGGGTGCTAACTAAGCCAAAATGGGCATGAAAAATGCATGAGGAGGCAAAAAAGTCGCAATCTGGACGACATAATTAACATTACTAGCTAAACTTTGGTTAGGCCCTTCGAAAGGTCTGTGCCATAACTGAAGAAAAAGAAAAAAATCCCACATTAGTTTGTGTAGTCTACTCGGAATGTCTGTGTAGTCTAGCGGAAATGGGCAGAAGAAACATGTTTTTCTTGTATGTACAATTTAATTTTTCCATAAAAAAAAAACTCGAAAAAATGCACTTGGAAACATGTGCAAAAGATCAACTAAATAGTATCGATGGTATACAACTTTAAATCCAAAAAAAATTAACAATTGTATGGAGAAGTCAATTTTGAAAGAACAAATTACTTAAGAATTGGGTTTGATTTTAGTGTGATTTATTGCATACTTTATAAGCATAAATAGATAAACTTTATGACTAATATGACCATGTAATGAATAATGTAAGTTACATCTCGCAATAACTACGAGCAACATGAAATACGCGGGTGAACATATATGTGTATCGTTTAGATGAAGTACGTATTGCACTTAATGGCAGCGGCTGAATTAGCTTCACTATGACAACGGTTCGATCTGTACAATTCGACAAAAGATGCTTTTATTTTTGTGTGGAAAATCTGTCGCACTAGAGCCGTGAGGACGTAGATCTCATCCATCACCTGACGTTGGTTGCAATGGCAGCGGCTGAATTAGCTTCACTATGACAACGGTTCGATCTGTACAATTCGACAAAAATGCTTTTATTTTTGTGTGGAAAATCTGTCGCACTAGAGCCGTGAGGACGTAGATCTCATCCATCACCTGACGTTGGTTGCAATGGCAGCTTTGAAACATTTGGCTCTTAGTTCCGTCGTAACGAACCTCACCAATTTCTATGAATGTCAGTAGTTGTTATGAAGTTAAAAACGAGGCGGTTAGATGTTGAAATAAATAATTCTACTTGAAAGCAGAACTTGAATGAATATTGCTATTATGCAAGAATCCTGTTGGAGGTAAGTTATAGCAATTTTCCTTGTATAATATTTTTTTTTCGCTTAGAGAATTCCCTAGAAACTGAAAGGGGAGTCTATTTCTACTCAAATAATATGAATACGTCATTCCAAATAATTACATGTCAATTTTGAAAAGAAACTATTCACTCTTAGCTGCAGATGATGTCCTTTACTAGACATTTGCTCTGATATAATTCAGCCCTATTTTTTTCATAGTAATTCCAACATCTAGTTACAAAGATCACCTGTCGCTCCGTAAAGTCGCACGCAAAAAAACTCAGATTTTCAAACAGAAAGTTGTGGAGGCAAACGATACATTCGATAACAGAAGGGATAACGGTGGCGCCTATTTATGACAAACCGAACTTCAACTGTACTTTTACGTGACTCCGTCATAGTTCGGTTGGCCAAGGGAAAGAGAGAAGTTATGATGCTAAGTTAGTATAAGAGAAGTTTCCAATTTCCTAAATTGCGATCGAAAAGGAATCGATAATGACCTGAGTAGATCTCAGTATATACCAATATAATGTTAGTAAATTCAACTTCCGTACATACGCTATTTATATGCAGGAGTCCATTCAGCCGTTTTACAGTACACCTGACTACGCCTACCTGGATTTCATCAAAATGCTGTCTTTTAGCATGGAATAAAAAATAAAACGTCTACGTCCGGATTCGAATTTAAATTATCACCTGTCTCTTAGATCAGCGGGCAAACGCTTTATTCACTACGCTATCGCAGTGACATCTGTACACTTTTCACTATTGGATACCCAGGTAGCGTCGTGCGAGGACCACATGTCGCTGGAATTACTTGCGCAACAAAATTATTCTCTATTGGATGATGAATGTAGTATGAAATGGTAAATGGTTTAGGCAGAAAATGTAGCATTAGAAATGAAATGTTAACAAGATGTCGTAGTTGTGGCTTTAACTGGCCTCAAGGGCGCATTCGACAATGTATTTTGCCATATCCACATGTTAAGCTGCGTTTAAATTTTTCGAAACTATTATCGGACAGATTTAATGAAAAATTATGGTGGAAATATATGTTTAGAGACTTTTCTGAGCTACATTACATAACGGCTTCTCCGATAACGCGTTGCATGCACACCACTCAAAATAATATCTTCTTAAATTAAATAGTCAGCTACAACAGTTCTCGGCACGGCTTAAGTCAGTACTCACAATACAAGGTATAAAACGCGACTGAATTTAAGCAAACGTCAGCGAGCGCTGTGTGCAAAATACCCACGTTCATACGTCTATATATTTTGTACTTGTTTAGTCTTGATGGAAGTCTAATTGTACCCTCAATCACTTATGCATTAAACCTTGAACATCAGTCTAAAATTTGTCCAAAAATTCAGTGAGATGTATCCTTTTAACCAAACTACGCGTAACATTTACTGAATTGCCTGGGTTTTGGGCGTTTCGTATCGTCCACTAGGAGTAATACCTAAGACCGACAGGGCGTAATTTAGCACTGCGTTTCAACCGATTTTGCTGCAAAGATTTTCACTAAGCCTAACTTCAAAGTTTCCTATACAAGAGATGAAGCTTCAGCTTTTAATTCTACACTTTCGTTTTTTTTTCAAAAAATGTCTCGTTCGTACTTTCGCTGACTTGTTTACTTTCGATACAGCGCTCGAAGACGCTTTTCCTGCTTTATCAGTACCGTTTAACTTTATTGTGTTGTGAGTACAATTCAACCTAGAAGAACTCAAAAATGTACGTTGTCAACATCTTCTGCCCTACGCATTTCGTCGGAACCAAAACGCTGCGAAAAAAAAAACTAGAGACTTGTTTCATGTACTATAATGACGCTATAGCTAAAAAGGCTACTTACGAGTGTTTAGGCATGTTGAAAATAGCATCTGACACTTAGAAGATGCCCTTGTTCTGGTCGACCATTTGAGTTTGATGACAATCGCGTGAAAGCACTTGTCAAAAAAGACGGCCAACAAGTAATTCGGGAATTAGCCGAGAAGATAGACTGTAGTCTTCTGACCGTCGTTGATTATTTTGAGTGCCCGGAGTTCACACAAACACTTGGTACTTGAGTACCCCATGAATCTCCGCCAAGGAATTACGGCACTTCAAAATTTTATCTTTTATTATATATTATTGTTATTATATTATATTATATATTTTATTTTAAAATCGAGCGGCATCGATGCCACAATGATTCATTTTTGCAAAGAATCGTGTGGAGGAGCGGTGTCTTACTTGCTGTGGTATCGAAATGGGTGGCTCCAATAGAGAAGCCAAGACAAACGTCGCTTGTTCGATGAAGATCTGGTTGATCTTGATCGGCACTGCGAGGGCCTGATTCACTCAGAATTATTTTCTATGAACCAGAATTGACCGACACATTATTTAGCTTAGTTATATCAAATCAATTATGCTATTTAAAAAAAGGAACCCGAGAAACGAGCTCACTTCAGGCAACGACGCCACACCTGAACGTCGTCGGAGCTGTCCCCTTGTACTTTGAATGCAAGATTTCATTGCATCCTCCACACTCATCAGGTCCTGCGTTTACAGGTTCTCCTCACCTTTTCCGTGCATTAAGAAGCCACCCTCATGGTTTTATATTTGATGTTAATAAAAGACCCAAAATGTGACGAAGTCTCAGGCGACACAGCATACAAAACTAATATACAACTTTTTATTTCTTACAAAATATTTCCTTATTGTTACTGTAATAAAGAATATTGTGTCTTCTATTCAATAAAAATGCGCCGGGGCTTTTTTTTCAATCAAATATTTCTGGAAACTTGACGTGACGATTTCTTAAGCCGTTTCCGTCTGCCGGAATTTATTTTACTATAGTTACATTTTTCTACCTAGACCTTTATAATTTAGAATCACCTCAATATAATGATTAATTACTGATTCCTAGCAAGAGTTAAACAGTCGAGTATCGTGTTCAAAAGCCAGCTGAATCGTCCGCATTGACAGGGGGCCATGCGAGATGGTATATATGTATGGTGTATATTACATATATATATATATATATACATATATATGATATATATAATATACACCATACATATGTTCATCATTTTACTTTTACAATGCTGCGAAAACTTACGCTTGGGCACTCTTGTATCCGCGTTCAATAACAGGCTATAGAAATGTATTGGTGTTCAAGTATCATGTTTATATCTCGGATAGAGATAAACATGATGCTGTTTTCTGTAAGTTATCGTCCTATCGTTACAAACTCTATTTCATCAAGTCACGGCCATAGTTTTTTTCAATATCGCCCCATTGCTGACATCTTCGATGGCCGATTATTGTGCTTTCGTTGATAGCCATTAATGTGTTGTTTTTGTTGTCAAACTGGATGTAATCACATGTTCTCCACATCACAAATAACACTCATATTTGTGTTGTTAGTTCTCCAAGGATTTACAAACACAGATATATGTGACGGTTGTGATCATATAACTGTACATTGTGATAGCAGTAGTATTGCGTACGATTTCTGTTAAAACATTTGCACACAACTCCACCATGTCCTCATACTTTCGCCATCGGGCTAGGTGACGGAAGGCGGGGGATCGTACCTATCGCAGGATTATTCACAGATTTAATTGATTTCGAGAAAGCCCATGGTAGTACATAGCACGTGAGGAAAACCACAGACCGTATACTGTGTAATTAGTTTTTCCGCATATAATCCTTTGTTGTTCCTGTGTTATTTTAATTAGTTGCTATTGCATGAAGACAACACTGCTCGAACGGTTGAAAACTAATGCGTGTTTCAAAGTTCCTACAAGGATGGAATCGATTTAGCTTTTTGTGTTCAGGTTTTGCAATATTACATAGATTCCATATGCCGCTACTGGGATGACGTTAAGGTTGTAGAAATGTCCTTCCCGCACCCTCCACCCCTGCTCGTTATGAGGATACAGCCATTATACGGTATAAAAAGCCTCACATATGGACTTGTTCACCGTTGTTGACTGTAAACTAAGGTTATCTTGAACATCAAGCCTTGCTTTTGTGCTTCCGTATTTGTGAGCTTCACTGTGAAACTAACCAATGGAAAGAGCACCTTGAAAGCGAATCGCTTTGCATGGAATTGGTCAAAAGCTATTTTTACCGACGGACCATAACCCACCGAAGAACTAATCTTTTGAATGATTTGGGGTATCCATTTATAAAAAAAGGTTCAACTTTTAACCCGCTTATATTGGACATTCTGTTAATCGAGATCCTCTATGTAGTATAATTACTCAAATGTATTTTTAGCTGTATAGTGAAGGGTAATCCGTTTTGGGAAGTTGACGGAAGGATTTTCTATGTGCAACAGTGACAATCTTCACTTTTAGTTGACATAGCCTTTATTGAACTTGATTATAGCTCCAGTCACAGGGTTTATCACAGGCTCGTTTCAGTTTCTCTTTGTAGCTGTGAAGCTTTGGTAAACCGGATGAGAAGATCACGCCCACTAAAATTTGCCAAAAACTCGTAATCTCACCGTTTTGCTTTGTAAAATTAGAAAACTTGAAAATAGTTACATTGTTGGACGATTGTCTCTTCCACGAAACAATTGAAGTAATTCTCTTAGCAAATGACAAGATGCTATTAATTATCGTTACCGGCAATTGGCCTTGATCAGTATAACAAGGAATACGTGATTTACCATTGCGTATTGCCTACCTTAAGTTCTATAATACTGAGGAGTTACTTTTTACACCGGCAATTACATTCCTAGTTTATAGCAGGGCTTCCGGAAAACCAGCTCGAGATGGCGGGCTTGCTTGTGCCTTTCGAGTTTCCGATAGCTGCGATAGTAGAAACTGCATTCAATAGAACTATCGTAACTTGCTACTACTTACTGTCCTTAGTCCTTGACTAACTTAAATACAGGGCTTATTACTACAAAGCTCGAAAGAATCGACGCTTGTAAATCTTTCGACACACAATGTCTACTAGAGTTAGCTAGAAGAAGCTCCAGCTCCAAGTCGGGGTAACATGCCTACCACCGTTTTTCCTATCTTAAAATTGTTCAACCTACATCGCAGGACGTCCCTGAGTCGTAGTTTCCCACGTGTGCATATAGTTCACGATTTCCACTGCAATCTTAGTTCACTTATCTGTACGGTTTATCACTTGTCACAATTTTATACAATTTCGTACAATTGAACGACGCCGTCGCAACGCGGGCGTTAACTCCTGTTGTTTTTTTCCAGTGTATATTTTGCCATGCGGTCGCAACCCGCCAGTATATACAGATCTGCAGAATTAGCCCGATTACTCCGTACTAATGTTTTTCTTCCCAAAAACGCAGTTCTCCGAATCCACGTTATTTCGTCAATTACTAACAATCAATTCAATTTCGTGTCTCGCAAACAAACGGTTCTAAAGGTGAAAGTTTCCGTCTTGACTCCAGCGGCCATTTGATTTACAATATCTGTCGCCTATGTTTTGTGTTTCCCCGACGAGAGATGCTTAAACAAGCACTTCATCCGAGCGTCCCTCAGTATACTCGAAGCTTAGGGTTTCACACGAACTTGAAACCCAGTAAGCCTGTTTTATGCGTTAGTTAGACTAGCCAACGTCTGGAGTATGTCTATTTAATAATACCAATGAGAAGGGCTTTATATTTTCAGTACGACGTATCACCGTGAAGTCTGTGCTTAAAGCAAAATTTGCCTTAAGCAGAGAACGCGAACGCCTCCAACCCAGAGTTCATACCATGTCTAGAATGTGTGTTATTTATTAAATGTGAGCGCACAAGTGAGCAATGAGCTAATTGAAATGAAGTCTTCATAGCGGTTTTTGATCTTATTACGTTGTAATCAGTAGAGCAGTTACCATACTGCGATCTAATGAGGCTTGTTCTCGTATTGGGCGTTTGCTGTTTGCGATAAAAAAAAATTTAAAAAACGTTTATTTTTTAATTTAACTATGTGCCATAACCATAACCATAACAACTGAAAATAAAGCGGCAAAGGCCTGATTTTTGCACAGTCTTATTAATACATAAAATAGTGATGACTTCTCATCGATATCATTGAGCAAATTTAGATACCTTACAATTTTATTGGTTGAAAGCCGATTTCCGGCCCAATTCGTCTGTCTATTCGGACTACGCGCATGCGTTGGTACGTACGTTGAATCAACGAAGGCTCCTCATCTCTTCTCTGGGATTTTGCAACCCCTGTGTTGTTAACACCCAGTTCATAAGCAACCCCCGGTCCATTGCTGCAAGCAGGCCAGTTGGCGATAGACGTTGAAACAACACAAGTGAGCTAGTGAATTCGTTTCATTCTTTTATATCGATCGAACATGATGCTTGAATGAAGCCACGCGAACAAGATCGATACTGCCAAAACAGCTAACGATATGATTAGACGGTTTGAGTTCAGCATATGTCGCTCGTCGCTGGGTGACCCACATTCAGCGCCTTCCTCAACGGTCGTATCTTTAAATGAGGCAAAAAGTGACTCTCTCTGCTGGAACAAAACGTACAGCGGTTATAAACTATACTAGCTTGATAAATCTCTTTGCGAGAGAGATCCGTGTCTTACCACCCAAGCCTGACCCCAGCTGCTCTTTATACACTAGCAAGAGGTTCCACGTCGAAAGTCTCTACATCGTGTGAAACTCAGGCCCACTTTTGTTTAATTGAGATGTTCTAACACGAAAGCACTGCCTGATTAACCCGAGTGATAGGTAAGAACACTTTCCGTCCGTGGACACAACCTTATGGCTTGTGGCCACCTATGGCCAAATACACCTGCAATCACAGCCTAATGTTTGAGATGTGTGCGAACGGATGCACTACTCCCCGATATCGAGCTAAATGGATTGAGACATATTATCTATGGCGAACAGAAGTTTTGAATGATTGCGCATAAGTTTCCTATACGAGTTGTTCAGTCAAACTTGTCGTTAAAGCGATAATTAACAAATCCAGTGATATATCATTTGTATTACCAATAAAGGCTACCAAAGAATGTAATGCAGATAAATCAATGGCCATCGGTAGGATACTAAGTAAACGATAATATGAGCACGACGATCGCGGTAAAATCAATCCGATCTAAAATTAATGAACTATTATTGATAGCTTTGCCCGTTATTGACCGCCAAAAACGGGTCTTAAGTGGGTTAAGCGTTCTATGCACTACCATCACAACCATATAGTTCAAGTAACATACCTTTCGAGCTCCCACGCTCTAGAAATGATACAAACAGAAAATGTATTTTGTAAGCTTTATGGCCGGCTGGTATTCCGACGTATCTATTTTCATCGTTTTCCTGTGTGTACTTTTCTTCCATCAATCGCAAGCATTGCCTCTTAACAACCATCATTTTTACGACATGAATGAATGAATGAAGCAAGGTGTTGATTACTCGCGGTGTTGTGCACAATTGTGTGATTTATTGGGCTGAAGCTGGGCGACGTAGACCTGGGCGACGCAGACCTGGGCGACGCAGACCAGTTCAACACGAGACCAACAACAAACTGCTACACGCTGGTTCATCTACTACGCGCTACTGTTCAAATTAATAACGAATGAATGAAAAAGTTCTCCCCTTTTTGTATATTTACATTTTTAACACATTTTCGGTACGCGGACACCGTCTGTTGTTTACGACGGACACTCTCACGAAGCTTCATTTTTTGTTAGCTGTTTATAGTCTATTTTTAAAAATCCACCCTGGAAGTGCGCAAGACTGAATTGAAAGTTTTCATCTCTAGCTATAGTCACAAGTGACAAGAGTTATAATGGTTTAATTGTACAAAAGCTTAGTTTGTTGGGTGGATGAGCCAGACCATCAGATAAGACAACTGTGACTAAAGTTCCGCCCCTACTCACACAGATCTTATTACTAATAATAAAAGACTATACTCGTTAATACAAACCTTTTTTTGGCCAATTACACTCTGAAACATTCGAAAACAGGCCCATTAGTTCCCAGAAAGATTCTTTTTTAAGAGTTGTGACATATGTCATACCAGCAAAATGTTCACTTTTACAGTGCAACAGCATTAACGAGACCTTCCTGGTTCGTCTTAATTTTAAGTTCGTAAGACTTTTCTAACGATATACGTTTCGGCGAACGACATCTGCATCTCGGTTTATTTTCCAGTTATTTTAATAACAATTGTGTTATTTATCTATTTTACGTACCTTTCTTCTGCCAGCCACGCTCTGCAATACCCAAATGGAAAGTAATTAGGTATTCCACAATACAGTTCCTTCACTATTAGTTAGAACAGTTACAAAAAAAAAGTTAAGGTTCAATTGCAATTCTCCTTATTGTTAGGCTGTATAACTGCTGGCGAAGTAGAACGATCGTGTCACATGTTAGCGAGAAATACTTGTCCTCAACGTTGAACCTCCATACAGTTTTAATGGAATTGTAGCACGTACCATTCGCGACGCAGCACGGCTCTGTATAGGGAAAATAATAAGCCGTTATCAACGATTGTACTGTCAGTCGCCTTCAATGGCTTTAATCAGACAAAACAGAGCTAGGATAGGTTGCATATTGTTTGCTATCGTCTTTGACGGGCAAGTATCTAAGAAAAGGTTTATGCGGCAAAGGCGCGCAACCTGGATGGCTGCCTTACACCGAATTTTCTTTAGTCTTGTAAAAAACACTTTATTAAATAGAGCAAAACTGAATATTCACGTCCTAAATTATCATCTATCGCGTTTTTCATTCAGATTTCCTGCAGGCGATCAAATAGGGAGGGAATACTAGCCAACTTGCCGAATGTCCTATCGTCTCCACAATTAAGTTGGACATACCTTTTGTGCTTGACTCTTCCGGGTACCTCCGCCCTTCGGTTGCATAGTTTTCGGACGCTTACCGGCTTTTGTGGCCTTCGATGTTTTCGATTTGGGAGATTTCGGTCGTCGTGCTTTTTTTGACTATACCGGACAGATCGCCAATGCAATAATGAGTTAATGGAATAAAGCGTGACGTTGTAAAATACAAAAAGTTGATCTACTTCCCACCACTGTTGTACTTGAAAAATTGCCAGGAGCTACACAAATTGTGCTTTTTGAAACAAGGAATTTACAAGCTACCTTGGTGTAGTTAGGAAGAGCGCTGTAGGATGCTTTTCGTTCCGATAGGACTTCTATGAATCCTCAGTTCTAGAACAGGCCAGTGAAAAACGACATTCAATTCAATACTAGCAGGTGCTTGTAATAGGTACTACAAGCAACTGCTAAGACTTCTTTCTGAGACTGCCAGTAAACCGAAATCACCTATTTAACAAGCTTCATCAAGCGCTAGCTGCCCGAGGATATGACTTCCCCTAAGACTCCTTGTTGTTTAGCGTTGCCCTAACGCTGAGCCACGTCCGTCATTTTCAATTGTAGACGTATGAAATGCCGAACCTATTAAGCTTCGTCGATTAAGGCTGTCAAAACCAAAGTTGCCGAAAATGCCATTTCCTTCAATTGGTAAATATACTCCGTTCTAAGAGTGCTATATTTATTCTCGGCTTATATATTGTATAATTCGACCCCAGAATGCTGTGATGCACCGCGCCATCTTGGCGAGCACCTTAATACTAACCTACTGATCAGAACCGTATCGTTTCGAATCTGAAATAAGGCAGCAGTTTTTCGCAGAGCATTACAACGACCAGTTGAAAGCATTTCATGCCTTCTCAAGTTAGGCTATTGAATACGCTTAGTCCGCAATTAGTACAATGGCCGCCTGTTTTGCTAAGATGCACGACAGGTGTTGAAAGAAATCCGAAAATCTGTTGCAACCGGCGCACTGCAAGGTCAGAGGCACTGATCCCTTTAAATATATTTCTGCCCACCGCGATGGAATAGAAGATCTAGTGTCTTCAAATCACGAGAGGTTCACTAACGTGTAACAACATAGACTGCCTCAGTCGCACGCCAGTCACTGTTCAATAGAGCGGGCATATTTAATTGTTTCATTTTCCTGATTTGTGAATGGGACAAAAGTTAAGGCTACGAGAACGATAAACGCGGCCGGAAGGCCTTCGAACAACTGACGTCTGTCACTTGGTTAGTAAAAGCCTTATCTGTCGATGATTTCTCCGATCACTGGGGCCCTTAGACAGACATCTTCAGAATCGAAAATAGTGCGTATGTGAATTTCTCTGTATATATTCTAGGCTATGTATTAGCTGGAGCACAGGCGAACGCTGGCGTTCGTATACGAAGACACTGGAGTGTTCGTTCCGAAAGAAGAGTGCCGAAAGGGACCTTGTCGCTTTAACTACGGCTACTTTATTTATATGAAACACACACACAAACACATTGCCTATGTACTATGCAATCTCATAGGAATACTCAATTTGATACTTACGTTTTCCATGATAACTTGCAATGTTATAGCTTCGTTTTTACGCCAGTATTGGATTGATCTTGAGGAACTCGTCGACCCTATATAGATTGACGATATAGTCATATGGCTAGGTAAATGAGATTTCCTACACGGAACATGGTTGGCTTATTGACATTTACAACTTCAACACTACAAATGTTGCAAGTGCAATTGTGTCTAATTAGATAAACATCTACGACCCTAATATTTGGGCTGCTAAAAAACGGCGTCGTCGTATAAATCGTTTCAATTTCAACTGATGCAAGCAGGCGCTGAAGGTTCATGTATACACCGAAACGCGTGACTATCCCTATTTAGTTGTTAGATGTTGACTAGTTATATATATGTTTTTTTTTTTTTTTTTTTAGGTTCTGCTTTTAAAAAAATTACTTGTCGAACAAATGTCGTTGCTAGTTCGCGAATTGAATTTTTCTACAATCTTCCACTGTTTTAGCATATCAATAATAGACATGTTAAAATAGTTTGGAAAAAAAAGTAGAAGTTAACCGTTATAGATTACGTTCATTTTGCTATTTGGCCAGCGTCTGGACGGCAATTGCTGCGACAGGAATCGCAGTGAGCACGTGTCGTATCATGCCCCCTTTGAATAGAGCCAGTTAGCATCTATCTGAAAACAACTTCCTGAGAAATAAGACACAGTCCGTGACGACTTAACCATTATGTCATGGCAGTTTCGTTTCATATACAATAGCTATCGTGATAAAAAGCTAATCGTGTTCAACGTATATTCGGTTTACGTGCCGTGGGCGCTTGGGCACCTTTTTATTTGATGGACGCTAAGGAGCAGAAACGGCGGTCGAGTCCATTAAACATCATCTACATCAGCTTCATTCTTTTTATGGACAACGGAAAAAAAAAACAGGCTTACTCCTGTTAAATCCTTACTAGCCTCCTACTATCGTAGAACACATCCAGTATCCAGACATGCTATATGCGTACCATAATTCAAGCCCAGAATTCCATCTCTGACTATATATGAGGTATGGACGAAGTCACTAATTTAACAGAAGTGCAACGAGGACCACATTCAAGTGTTGCTATGCTTGGATTCAATCGCTAACAAGTTAGCTTACATTTTGCCTTCGTTATCAAAACGACAAGAAGTTAATTCATATCATTGCTGACGAATTGTCTCGAAGTTAGCAAATTCGAGTGTTTTGCGCAAAAGTTAGGCCAGGAATAACTTTTTACAACATAATTCAGGTGAGGACTTTCATGAAGGGATTAATGTAATCAGTCTTTCGGCACGAGTATCAGGGCGAGATTCATGACACATTTCTTCCATGATTTTTTTGCAGCGTCCGAAGGAGGCCTTGGCTTTGGTCGGCTGTTCATAGGTTTGCTATATAAGCCAGCGGGGAGATAAAGGATAATGGAAACATGCGAAGTTCTATGGTTACTTCGCCCTTTCGTCTCACAGTTCCTTTGCAATTCCCGGCACACACATCTAGCTCAGATTAGTAGGGAAGTTTGGTCTCAGCTGCTTTAGCATTTAAGGTGAAAGACGTACTAGGCATAATCTCGGCACGTTACTTCAAGCCTGCAATATTCTACCTTTGTTCGAGATGGACTAGCAATATTTGGTCTATATAGGTACTCTAGCGTTGAAGCTGTGATGGAGACATTCTCTGTCTCTGTTGAAGCTGTGGCGGCGTCATTCAACTTTAGCTCGAGTTAATGATTCCAAAGAGCGTCGCTAGTTGTCGTTGTTGTGAACAATTTTTTTGCTAAGTTTGATTTTCGGCGGGACAATTAACACCGAAACTCGTCTCATTTTCCCCACTGACTTTTTGTAAATCAGTTAAATCTTATCCATTCACGTTTGTACGATACAGTAGCTAACACAGGCCAACAGCACAGTCTAACAATGATGACTGGTTTTTTGCAGCGCCTTCAAGGTTAAACGAAATTCAGCAAAAAAAAGCTGGTAAGTGATATCGTTTTCGGAGCTAATTTTCAAAAAGTTAGACGCCATTTTTCTTAACTACGCGTCCCAATGACCAAACTAGGGACGGTTATAAATTCGGTAGCTAATTTTTTCTCGCAAGGAACAAAGGCCAAAGCAACAATGTCTCATTTTAGAGGCTGGCGCTAAAAATTTTTAGTGTTATTGAAATATACATAACAGTTAATTTACCGGGGTAGGATAACGGGTGTTAGTATCCTATAATTAGTATTTCGTTTGTGATATAGAGAAGTTGAGGATATGAGCGGCGTTAGCTGGAAATACCTAAAACAAGCGACGGCTAGCTACGTTTTTCGGGACGAGTGAAGTCAAGCATCAAGCATGAACCTTTCAGCATTGCTATCGTGCGTGTATTGTTTTCCATTTTTATTGAATTTATGCATCCTAAAGACAAATGAACGGAAGGACAAATGGAAAAAAAAATGAAGGACAAATTATCACATACCTAAAAAAAGAGCAGAATGTTTATACATGTCAAAGGGCATTTGGTTAGAATGGTTCGGTACATCTTGACTTTCGAATAATTTCACCTTTTTCTCTACTTAGTGATACTTTTCGCGCTATTGTAGCTCCTTCTTAGAAATTGAATGTATACCAACTGTACAATCCTATGATTTTACTAAGAAAAACAACTACGATTTATTGAAACATGTAGCAATATGCGCGCTAACTCGTGAGAGCAAGTCGTTTAGCATACAGACAAATAAAAAAAGTACTCCCTTTTCCACAAGTGGATTACAATTCCACATGGCGTTGTGATCATTCGAAGGCTCGAAGCATTTCGCCTGTAAAATTTATCAGGCTAACATAAATAGAAAGGTCAAACTACTCATTCTACATATCTGTTATTTGTAACAACTCTCTAGCCATCTATGTACGTTAACTCCCTAAAAATAAGGGTAATTCGGTTCGATCCGTTTGGTAGACTTCAGCGCACTCGTTCGATAACAGTATATAATTCGGGCGCTTCCGAAGGCTAGCCTGAACATCGCCTGCTTGCGTATTGTCCTATGCCTTAATTATATTACAATCGGTATTTAAGATCCGTTCCCATCTAGAATCGTTAAGTTGTTCGATGGTGTTTCAGTCCTTTCATCTATCCAAAACCATAGTGCGCCAAAATTGTCATTCAGCGTTCTAGAGAGAGTCCCACCCAGCAGTATATATAGGATCGTTATCATTTTGAATTGATGACAGCAGAGCTTTGAGCCCTTATCTATCTACTATACTGTTTTCAGGAACAATGTCAAAGCTGACATTGTTAATTTTAATAGGTATAACGCTCTCGGTTGGATGCATTGGGCATGAAGTACTATTTGAGGGGGGGGGGGGGGAGACTTCGAAAAAAGATACTATTTACGTAAATATAAATTTAGAAAAATTTCATTAATCGTATTCGATTGTCAAGTATGCTTGTATACTTTTTAAGATTATATAACTTTTTTTTTTTGTACTTTCTTTAACTACTAGATTTTACTAACTAAAGATAAAGAGAACCTTGGTGTACACAAAGCACACCATATCTAGAAGGACTGACGTGTACAGATGGTCAAATTCGGAATAATGAACGTTGCCGTATGTATATTGAATGAATTAATGTTTAAAAAAAAAATGATACAATTCGTTGAAATTTTCTATTTGCTTTTCTCAAGGGTTGTTTAGTCGGCCCTCATCTCTGGCAACTTCTCATAGCAAACACGGACGAAGACGTGACAAACAAATAACTATTCTACATGGAGAATCGTTGTCAAGGAACTTGCATCCAAGTTAGACCAGTTATATCGGGCTATATTGAGGTATAATTTGCTTCTAGCAAAGATTACGCCAAAGGATCTTGGCTCCGACCAAATGCAGACCTGCCAACAACGGTCTCAGACAAATCCTAGCGTAACTGAAACTGAACCGGATTTCGGCATTGCAAAGCAAAAATGGCCTGAGTGTCGCCTTAAAAATAAGTCCAGATTAAAAAGAAAAAACTGCACGATAAGTAAAAAGTCCAAGTAAGAAAACAAGCTTCTACGTGCCGTTTTGTTTGTTATTGGAAACGCGTGCACCATGCAGATCTTACTTTTTACCAAGTAAGACATGTTAAAGTTACCAGCCATTCACCCGAGTGCTGGCAATCAACACATCACAACTTATATCGTATTTTTTACGGAGAATAGTGGAAAAACACGTTCGTTGAATCTAACGGAGATCACTTGAAAGGAAACAACTATAGTTTAGACGATTGAAACACGTACAAATAGGTACAAATCTAAAATGTCGCCACTCTTTTGACGCAGTCTTTACTTACCTCGCTAGTTAGATATAACTGGAATGTTACCGAAAGACGTACTGTCGTCTGCTGTCTGTTTTTTTTTTGAATACTCGGCGGCGTTACGTTCAACGTCCGCTTAAAGTTGTGCTTAAAAGTTGGTTTCACTTTAACAGATGCTTTTTTTTTTTAAACTATTTCTACATCTCACTTTATGGGTTTTGGATGTTATGGATTCATTTGAGAGGTGGTGGTACTGTGGTAAGGTTGTCATGCTATTTACCCGGCATACGCGATACGCGTCACAGCAGCGCGCAACAACATCTGAAATTTTAGCAAACCGTTGTTAGGCTTTGGGTATACATCATCTGTGGGGCATTCATAACCTTGAATTAAGCTGTTTATGTTAAAGTAATATTTGTAGGGCAGCCTGAAATTGCACTAGTTTTCTCACCGGTGAAGGTTCAATGGGAGAAAACTGTTAGCGGAGTGTTGTAAATGTCCTAAAATAAGTTACTCGATCCGTTGTTGCATATTGCTCGCAACAATTATGGTACTTTAGTTAATTTATTTACTTAGATCTTAGATTGTTGCTTATTCATAGCCTTTTCCTTTTATAAAAACCCTGTTTTTGTTTCGTGGCTTCTTGTTAAGCTATTCGTAGAGTATACTTACAAAGCACCTGTCCTTCAGCGCTAGAGTCTCCTAGAGAGAGAGATAAATGAAGATCTGCCGCTTTAAGGGGCATAACGGGGATACTGTTTACAAAACAGATGTTTAATAAACAGTGCAGATGAATGCATTAAAAAACTCGACCCTATAGAGCTGGTATCTAGTCGTTAATACTTCACACGGCGTCTTTATGATACATTGCGTAATCTGTTTGAACGTATCAGGATTTCTTGGTTTCTCAAGCGCGTTATGACAAAGTAGTTGACAGCAAGCCGGAGAGCCCTGTGCAGCTATTAAAAGATGGGTCAATTAAAACGAGGCAAAGAAAAAAGCACATCAGATATCTTGTCAGCTACAACGTATTGCGTTTATAAAGAGCTAAAACTTCCATATATTTTAACGTGTACACAAAATCGTTCCCTGAAAAACAACGAACGTGGGCCAGAACCTCTCTACACCACTGTGGCCTCTCGCTAAGCCTAAGCTGGATGAGGTATTTATCAGCACGGCTGTGGAGCGGGGAAGTGCACGGAGACCCCCCTGCAGAGCTTTGTAGTCTGGCACTAATTTAATGTTTAATACGACGTTCTACTCGCAATGTAATACTATCGGCTATAATCACGCGAGCAGTTGCCAATGGCCAGAAAGTAAATTCTTGCGTGATGGTCAAAGAATTGGGTAAGCTCCATTGGTTATTAAGAATTTCGTATGCAGTGATATGTTTTTGTAAAAACCGATTGTAGAAGAAAACTCTGCTTGGCTACACACAGATGAAACGCGAAGGCTCAGACTGAATTTTTCTAGTCTACATTTTGTTGGTCTCTAAGTATAGTCTATAACAAATAGGGGCGGAAAACGCAAATAGTAGAGAGACGTTTTTCATTGAAGATTCGTCCAGATTGCTAGATCTCCTGGACTGCGTTTGAAAGAAAGCTCAAATAGGCGGTTTTCAAATTTATGGTTCGATGCCCATCACTTTATAGGTACTGCAGACCTAATTAGATCTGGCTAACGTTAGTATAGCAAAAGGTATAATCAGTGTCTGTCATACTTAAGTAAGCGCCATTTGAGTGTGATATTGAGTTCTCGATAATTCCGAGCTGAACACATTATAGGTTTGGCTGCTGCAGACGAAGACCGGAAAGAGGTGCGAAAGATGGAACGATGTCGATCTACATTGTACAATTTCAACGTTATGTAACCGGGGTGATGTTGTTCCACGCTTTTGAACAAATTAAGTTGACCATAGACACAAATCCGTTTGGCTTGTTTTAGTCCCAGGTTATTTTGATCTCATTCAGGTAGATTATTTTGCCTTTATTGAATACGAAAAATAGGTAGTAAATCATTACCGACGGCCGACACATCGACTGCATGGTAGGCCATGCAAGCGCTCTTACACATAAATAGGGGCAGATAAGCCTCCAGTTATACATAATAAGCCGTTAGTATTTTGTTCTCGAGAATCCAAAATTATCTATAAGAATATTAGATCCTTCACTGCTTTTAATATTTATCTAGAATTTTCTGTTAGAGATGTTTAGCCAGCCGTTATATTTTAGTGCCACTAGGCACTTAACGGCCTTGGATGAGGCCATTCGAAATTTTCAACGAACTAAGTGCTTTAGTGTGACTCGACAGCTGGATGAAGACTTGGGTGTGCTTTTTGGTGCAGACCGAACAGCGGTTCGTGCTGTGCATCCATTGAAAATATTTTTTAAGGCTCAGAACAAAAAAGTGTAAGCGTATTGATCTCAGTGCTTGCAAAAGCAAACCTTTGTAACACTTTTAGCGTCACATCAACTTTGGAACGTTGCACAGGCGTCAAACAATAAACAAACCCTTTGCGAAAGAGCTATCAAATTTGCATATAATTAGACCAACGTCAATATAATATTTCGAAAAATAGGAGAAATTTAATCCGGCTTCTAATTGGTGAAACTGTAGTCCGTTACCTGCAAGCTCCATAAGACCTATAGCATGCGGAAATGACAATATATCCTAAAAGGTAAGATCTGCGATGTGGAAATTCATATTTTAACCTGGCATGGTCTCTGCATTTAAAGTAATCTCAATGTAGCGATCATTATAGGTGTTACAGAACTCGCACTGTTATACACGGAACAAAGCCGTGAGACGCGAAATCATCGCATCTAATTAATGTTCAACTTATTTGACAAGACGTGTAAGGATCTAAGTCAATCTTCCCCGAGCAGAGTGGTCCGCTGCAGTACTGAAGGCAGGATCATCGAAAAAATGATATAGCTATGAAGTTGAATGTCAAAATGGGCTTCTACAACAACAAGTGAATTAGCCAACTCAGAGCCAAACCTTCCCTTCCAAATAAGCGATGATTTTGTGCAAGACGTAACTAACCCCACCAGCACACCCCCGAAACAACTTAGTGAAATGATCTTGTTAGATTATGACTCCCGATCAACTCGGTTAACGAAGCAATGATTTTTTTTATTCATTGGATATGAGTGAAACTATGCCGCTTGCAAAAGAGGTGTCAGTCGATAACAGCAGCTCTAGATTGCACGGGCTGCCATTGATTCCCCGCTGGATGTTTCGCATCCGATGAGGCGTAGTAACAGATGCTTTTTTTCGTGGCATTCATGATCTGCTGGGTACTACTAATGAAACCCACGAAAATAGAGCAGAATGTCGTTTAACTTATTATTGGAAATTTAAAAAACTGCTGATTAAAAAAAGACCAGAGCAGAATGTCGTTTAACTTATTATTGGAAATTTAAAAAACTGCTGATTAAAAAAAGACCGGGGGGTACGCGTAGAAAGATCTTTTTATGTTGCGATGTTGTGTTTCTCCCTTTGGACGATCTTTGTGAAGGTTTGTGGATCATATTGATTCACAAACCGGTATCGGGATGCTTCTTAAAGGTCAAAGATTAGCTAGCACTAATGCACAAGACAAATCAGTTTTACCTGATAGGACATCATGACAAAGCTCAAATTATCAGAAAGATTTCTGCCAGACTTAATCCACCAAAAGCTGAAGTTTTCCGCCAATAAATTCATCCAGTATGATTTTGATATTCCTAATAATGCAGACTCTTCAGCAAATATGTAACCGAAGTGAAAACACCACATACATTTACCGGTCACACGGGTTCGTTGATTATTTCAGCATGATCCTCATATTTTGATATACGTGAAGTACGCCGTCATCGATATCAAAAGTTATGATAGAGGTGTTACTGAAGAGGACCATCTTTCGATATAAAATTTTCACAAACGAATAATAACACTTAGCCTACACTTCCGGATTCATAAATGCCCCGGCAAAATGATCTCATAAAAAATGACTATGTCGGCAATCGGGGGTTAACAGCAGTAAACCAAACGCGTGATCTGAAAATTGAACCTCACACGTAGTAAGTACGTGTCAGCGACTTGCGTCTCCGTAAAGGCAAGGTAGATTTCAAGCTAATACACCGAATCTCTACCGATTTATGGGTGGTGGTACCAAAACTCCCACGTGTACGTGCCCTGCAGCACAGGATTAAGCTCTTGTAACGAATGCAAGACAGATCTGTTGCTTTTGAATAGAAGGTGGATTGCGATGGCGTCGTTCACAATGATTTCTCATAAGTACTATGCAAAAACGATCTGAATGTTCTAAGCAAATTAAGTTGTAAGAACAAGTTACATTTAGTCGAGAGGGCCCTTACTACTGTTCCTATAGTTACTGAAAGTGCATTGAACACACAGCCAAAGGAAACAGCATCAAAACTTCCATTTCCGTATAGTTTTCTCTTTGTGTTTCAGCTAAAGAGTATTTGCACTGCGTGGTATTGCACTATTTAAATTCTCATTAAAAAGCTGTAACTCTGGCTCAATCGGCACAAGTGTTTGAAAAGCCTCACACTTCAATAGTAATGGCCATCTAGGTATATAGCGATGGAAATGTTTTCGACGGAACTGGCGCATTAATTCGAGTATAGACTACCCATTGATGTTCCATTCTAAAATTTCCTCTGACCGCAAGGCCGGTCTTCTCTGATCCGATGGACAGATCCGATGACAGAGCCGATGGAAAAAGGGTTGACCGTTACACTAGCCTTGACGCTAAGTTAACTACAAGCATACCGTGAGTAGCTAGCCTTATTCCATGACACTGTCGGCAGTATGTTTGCATTTGTCGATTTGATTTCATAATATAGTTCCGAACGATAGTAGCAAAAACAATCAGAAGATTATGTCAAATGTTATTATTATATTATACAAATATGTTACTACAACAACAGATCAGCATCGAAAACGTTACTCAAATTATATAAGGGACTCGGGTCGGAACTTCGAAAAGTCAGATTTCGATTCCAGAGGTATTATTAGATATAGGTATTTCAACAGGCTCTCCGAATGCATTGAAGCATTTTGACCACTGAAGAATATTATTACCAATAAAAATATTACTATAACCGACGCCTAGAAAAAAGGACATTTTTATTCTTAATTTTTTAAATTTTTTTATTTAAATAATAGCAAATACATTATACTAGTTGATACAGACGACCATCGATCTCGTTATTGTTAGTACTCATCCCCAAATTTTTCTGACGCACTAATCAAACGAACGGTCGATAATTCAACTTGCACAATTTTAGCACAATTCCTAAAGATAGGTAAGGGAACGGCGCTATAAATTGATTCGACCAACTTAATTATAGATTCATTAGGTAGCGTAAATACGCATTTCATGATTCTCTGTGTCAGAGCCTTAACGATCAGATCTACTTGGATCGGACACTTGTACAGTCGAGTTGATTCCAAATACTCACCAATAAACTTTGAAGGTCAGCCGTTCTCCCGTCGCGTAACAATTGCCAACAATCGAAGCCCTATCCTGATATGCTCGCCCAAACCGAGTTCAAACGCATTTTCGGCGCAATTCACCTCGAAAACACGATTGTTTCATTTAATTTTATGTAATGCTGCTCATACGATGTACCGTAAATCACATACCCAAACAATGGAATAATGCTATTTATATTTGGTGAGAAACGTTTATGTCATTGGCAGTAAACACTTAGTCAAAAAATACCATTCGATATTGCCCCATTTCTGTTACATTTCAGGCAAGATGGCCTTTTTTTTTCGCTCGAATTGGGTCTCCTCACTTGATCGGAGACAGGTTGGGAGGAGTAGTAGTAGAGCGTACAGACCATCTGGCGAAAGCGATTGTTCCAGAGGAAAAATAAACTGTTTCCGAGCGGTGATTCAGGTGAGCGATCTCCATTGCCTTTTGGTACAAGTTGTTAAAACTCCTTTTGACTACATTTAAGTGAGCCAGCTTATATATACTATACGGAGAATCGTAGCCGAACCTGAAGGATCGATCTAGGTCAATCGAGGAATTTAGCATGTCAATGCTGCTAGATCGGTAATAACGGAAAGAAAAATTTGGACGACTTCATTTGGACGAGGAACTCATTTAGTTAAGGGTGAGAGCTCGAAAATAGGATTAGGTAACTTGCGGATTGTTTCGGATGTCAAGATACACAATATTCCTCAACTGAATTTTCATTACTTCACCAGCTGTGTATTCTACCAGATAAACTTCCAAAGCTTCTTATATTAAATCCTCAGCGTACGCATTTCGAACGAGCCAACTATTAGAGTTAATATGGTTCAGGCACGTTTGATTAGCTATAGCATTCGTCTTTAAAGGTATACCTATCCTTTCGCTAAGGGCACCAATATGCACACACCGCTTATCGTCTCCGCTCAAAAAGGATCGGCTTAGGCTCCTGTTTGGGGCGTAACTTTCATTCGAACGTAAAAAAATATCTACCATATGAAACTCAATAGCAGGCGAAGAAAAGCGTGGAAGCATCTTCGGGAAGCATATACAATCGATCGAAATCCATTTCTCACTATGACATATGCAAATGGGCGCCAGCTAACCCAGTGCTACTGGCAGACGCTCCAGTAGGACCCCAGCAGTAGACGAAGATTTCGCAACTGACTTAACCACTGTGTTACATATACGACTTTTGTTTGCTTTTCACACAAACCACCTGACGAAAACCCAAAGTGGGTCCGTTTGTTAGCTGGTTATTGGCACCGGTTAGCAAGGCCTTCTCGTTTAGTAGAAAAACAGCAGTTTTCGGACGAGTGCGTACCTTAAATGATGGTTTCGATATTCCGACCCAGTTCTGTTGTTGTTTAGCGTCGCTTAAAAAGCCGACGGCTCCCAACGTTAAACGAAATATGTCTGCACTCAATTTCCCTCTACGTGTCGCCAACGTTTGGTACGCAACCAGTTTGCCACTAGAGCACTGTGACGGCAAGAGCCTACGTCCTCTACTAGTCAAATAAAATAGGAGAAGCTAAGATAGCTGCGTCAGTGAGTGTACGTGTTTGGTTCATGGGACGTTCAGCGTAAAAGCAGGTCTTTCTGACGTTCCAGCAGTTGTCATTGGTTGGCATTGCAATATAGACTTAGGTGAGACCGGCTGTTTCGTTTGGGATGCGTGCCTAAACGTTATGCCCACAAGTGATAACTGGACGCGATGCGTTTGGATCCTGAAAATAGACGGATGCGTATCCAGGCCCTCAAGGCCATGCATATGCTTCCAAAAACAGCGGAAAAGGAAAGTCAATCATCTGAGTGTTCAAGGATCTAGAAAAAGGGGTGATGCTTGAGTTGCTGTATGCGGGACCATTTCTACGGTGGATAGTTCGAAGAATAGTTTACGGTTATGCTACGTATCGTTGTTTTATCATCGGTTAACTGGTATCTGGTAACTGGAGTTTTAATGCTTCCGTTATAAAAGCATATGTCTTTGAGAAGAAGTATTTAAATATTATTAAGACAGTACGTGAAAAGTCTTCTTCACCAAATGGGGTCCAAAACTATACTGAGACATCTCGGTTCATATCTTTGTGTACGGATTAAGCCTCCTTGCTGTAGCTATTTCAAACAAGATAGGACAAGACGATTAATAAGAAATAAATCTACCCTTTGTTTAATAATCGTGTTTAAATCGTTCTGAGCAAGTTCCCGAACCATAAGCATCGATGTTTATTTTTTTGAACTCGCTAAAAAACCACGTTAGTACCACAGTTACTTGACAGGCTCACATTTTTACCATGTCCTGACAATGTTTCGTTCACGTCAAAAATAATGATAAAATTTCTCCAATGGGCCTGTTATAATGAGGCTGGGCAGCAGCAAGTTACGCTTTGTTTGACGACTTCTGCAACAGGTCGTGCCGGCTAGACCGCTTCACAAAAGCATAGACCTTAGCAAGAAAATTTATGAGACTTCTGCTTTGCAGATGTCATCGTCTCCTGGGCCCAGCTTGCGACCGGGGTCGAAGTTCCTGTTGAAACAGAAAGAACGAATTAATTGGCTTCCTGCAAAGTTACAACATTCAAACTAATATAACGAATGCGTGAAATCGGTAACAAAATGTAAGTGTACCATATTATATTAGTTAGGTCATACGCTTATATCTTTGTCTTTTTTTTTTTTTAGTTAATCACGTATATTGTATTTTGCATGTAAATTTAGCGATGCTTGGGGCACTTTCGTTGTTCGTATCCTTTCTTATAACTAAGGTAAAAACTTTCGAAAGTACTGCCTAAAGTATTGCTGTTTTAGACATGAAACTCTATGTAAATCGTAATTGGCTAGAAATCATAGATGTGTAATATATGACCATACGAATTTTTTTTTTTTGTATTAACATTATTGTTATTGCCATTAGCTAGGGCATATATAGTAGAAAGCTATGATCATGGCGCAAAATTTCAAAAGTCGATATCTAGTTATCTACAATCGTCTGACGTTGTTAATTGAGTAACTGCCATGGCGCGTTCTATATTCTGACAATATACGAATATCTAGCATACCCTTATATGCATGGTAATATGTTACAGCTATAAGTTACAACTCAATTTCTCACAAGAGGAAAAAGTTAAGTATGGTTTAAACGTTAACGACGTCCAATTGACAAGAACTACGCCGGCTGGATTGGACTGTGGGTATATTGCAAATTGAGGACTAGGGGGCCCCGTTCTCTTGAGAGCCTTCAGGCGATGCTCCTTGAAGTCAAAACGGCAACATTGCTTTGCCTTCACCTTAGGCCATGCGGGTGCGCATGCAGCGACGTTAGTGGCTGTGCACGTAACGGCACATGTGCCACATTTTAATTTAAGACTCCTGAACTAAAAAGTTCCTCGGCGTCAGTTTTATCGCTAATTTAGGTTCAGCTTTAAACAGGGAGCACAGTACCGATAGGAAAAGTTTTACGGGCTGAAACGTTTTTATATACTGACTTGTTTAAATCAATGTATTGTACTTTGCTAATTAGTCTTTCGTGCTTAAAGCCATTACCGTATATTTTTACTTTGAAAACCAACGCCGGCCGAGTCAAATCTACTAAATCATTACTAGCCATTATTAATAAACAACAATTTAGAGGGAAAAATGTTGGCAGCGCTTAAATAAAACGATAGATAGTTCTGAATGAATTCACTCGTCTATTTTTTTTTCCTAACATATTTTGAAAACGATATTATCACAGTTTTGCTTTTCTCGTCGCTATCCAAGATGCGAGACGCATATTAAGCTAGGTCCTACTGAATTGAATCTGTAGATGAAAGCCAGGATTATAACCTGCTTGCTTTGCGTAAGATACATTTCTGGACTGTATGACCCACTGAACAGATACCTTCGTTTATAACTTATCTTGACCCATTTAATGCTTAGGTGTCTAGGGAAGCGTATCAGCCGATTCGCTAAACTTGATTTTTGCTTTTTAACACGTCTGAAATCTTGCACTGCAGCTGCTTAGTATACTCTTCTTAACGTCCGTCTTTGTAGATCTCGCTCACTAATCAACTAACCCCGATCCGTTATTGCTATCGATATGCCTTTGACCGTTGATCATTGTCTGCCTACCACGCTTTCAATCATTAATTGATCTCTACTCATTACATCTCTCCGCAACAAAACACCTCGAACGGCCGTCCCGACTGAGATAAATTATTTTTGCTTTGACCTACTGCATAAACTAAAATTTTCGTAATTATTCTAAGTCCCTTAATCGTGAGCTACGCTGTTCTCACAGCAGGAGCCAACTGTGATATATCTTCAGGTATTTTCGAAAACTCTTATTTCTAAGTACAACATAATTGGTAATTATTTTCAGTAACTGCGATAGGAACGGCTTGAGCTGCGGAGATATTAATTGTTCCACAAGTTGCAATAACTTGATCTGTCAATTCTACACCATAACAATATCACATATGTGTATGGGTATTAAAAAATCTATTTGCAGTTTAGCTCAAATAACCCTACAGGATCATCCATTACAGGCTTAATAACCTTTTTCAAATTATAATAGCGCGCGCGTGTACTTGAAAGCACGTATCTGTAGTGAACCTGCTGAAAATTTTAACGGCTGCTTAGAATGCGGGGGCACTAACGACTAAAGGCTGATAGTAGTTTTTTAATGTATTAAAAAATGTCTCCGGGTATCTGAATAATCTCAAAGGCTGTTCACGTACAGTTTGCCTAGAAACGTGACGATTATGGCTGAAGTCAACCCTTCAAAAAAAAACCCAGCGAAGTGATTAATGGACTATCTCTTGGCTAGGTTCATGGGAGCGCGTATTTATTTAAGATCTAAGCCCTTTGGTTTCATATTAGTTGCATAATAGACATCCATGAGGTACCTTTCATACGCGTCCACAAAGCATTCGGAAAGTGGGGCAGCCGGTCACAAAGGTGTAAAAACTAAATAATGCAATGTAAAGCTTTATTTCTTTCTAAATAGCTGGAATCCGATTTTCATGGAGGGTCTAAGAGTCTTTTGGGTTATAGTTGTTTGACCTATCGAACATTCGGTCCTCTGAAAGCAACACCTAGAAGAGAAAATTTCCCATACATTGGGTAGTGGTGTGGACAGGTCTAGCTCACTAAAAAAAATCGGGATCAGTCTACATACATATGAGCTGATGAAACTTCAATCGAGCCAATCTACTTACGAAATAACAATAAATCACCAATACAAGTACAACACTAACGTACAAAAACAGTCTTTTCAATGTTGAACCACAAAAATACATACTGTTATTTTAGCAAACGTTTGGCTAATGCCCCGGTGCCAAGGTACCTGTAGGGAACTGTATGTAAAACGTTACTGCCGATACTTGCCTTATTGACAACCTTGGAAGTACAAGACCGCATCGGCCGACCCGAACTGGATCGAAAATTTCGGTCTCCGGCGTTGTCACCTGTTTCATCTTTTGCCACAAGAAGAGGGCGTGTGTTTCCGACAAGAATATCCATTAAAGCTATTCGTAACATTAACAGAATTTAATTATTTCAGTTTCTATACGATACTGTTTGATGTGAGAGCTCTAGTCAACAGGACTTCCGTGAGTAGGCACACCATAAGTTGGTGACGTAATCCATTTGAGTCCTACTTGCCGATACTCTAGCGGTAGCATTCGTTGATCTATGCAACGGGGGTCGAAACCCAGTTTCTAGTTTCTGAAACCCAGTTTTAATAGTTTCAAAATCTGCATTAGCCTTGCAATTTGGCACGTTCATCTTAGGACAAGACATCAATTTCTCTCGCGTTAGTGGCGTTGTCCTATATTTAACTTATATCGTAGCATCCAGACGTGCCCTATGACAATCATAGTTTCATCAAAAAGGGCCCCAAATAACTACACAATGTGATTTGGGTAGAATCGAACCCGAGTACTATATGGACGCATTGTTAGTTAATTACCAGACGCTCAACATCATTGACATCAGTGCATTAGATGTTAACTAGAAGAAGATATTTGTATCTTTTCGAGGCTGTGCCAATGAATATGTGTCGAAATTTAGGAAAGTAGGATGATACGACTGGAATGGCAAGGCTCACGAATACAGCAGGCCATGTTCTAAAGGGAGAAATTGCTAGGCGCGCATGTTGGTGACGATGTATATGTCTAATATACTTTAAATAACAATTAACGAAGTGAAAAATGTGGTATATTAGCTTGCTTAAGTAAAAAAGTCTATAATCTATTTAATAAATCAGTTTTCTATGCTCGATGCTAGCCACGTATGTTCAGGACAGCCTCGTCAGAGAGGACTGTCCTCGTTGGAAGCACTTATTGGATCCTTCGAATTGTAGATTCGCCGCTTGAACTTAAGCCGTTAGCATGGGAACTTCATGTCGGCTAGATGGAAGTTAAAAACGACGAATTGTAAAAAAGTTTAGTTTTCTCATAACTTCGAATGCTCTCTAGTGATCCTAATTAGTCTACAGCTGCGTACGTATTGCCATTGTTTCCTTATGGTTACATTTGATCTATAAGCCCGCTGAGTTACTAGAACAGTGGACAACAAGCTATTTCTACGACTGTGTAAGCATAATAGCCAACAAAAAGTAAACATGTACACGATTCAATATTTCAATTTTACCATAGTCTTACCATTTAATTTCAATACATGAAGTTAAATGGTAAGGCTAAGCCCGTGCATCCCCATTATAAGAACATCACTTTCATGACATCGAGCCCCCTTACAATGAAAGCTTCAACCTTCCAACTACCAGCTTAACAAATTCGTTATAAGCGAACATTATGCCTCTGCTATAACATTCATATGCACCTATTCTGCACATTTCTATACACATAGACTAGGTCACAACAAGGAAGGCAGCCGGGTATACAAAATTAGGATGCCGCTTGCTATTCGACGGCCTATATTCACACCCTGTTTCCGCGCTATTCTTTTACCAATATCCTAAGCTATTCGTGCGTATAGCTGGCTAAATCCTCACTTGTTCCCGTAGCTCATTGGCCCCTGGAAGTGGCCAATGTAGTCAGATCAGACTTAAAAGCAAAAATTTAAGCTTCGACCAAGGTCGCAGCAACGAATATTGGGCCCAGGTGACGTTTCTGGCCCTTCAACAAGAACAAGGTACGACTGATGGTTGGGCGTGAGGGTGGGATCATTGGGAACGCTTCTGCTAACGGGCTGTTCTGTGACAGTTTTCCTTCTCCCTGATCGGGGCCTCGGATAGCCTCGGCTTGAGTACGTATATCAAAAAAAGCTGGAAACGGCGTTGCAGTTTACAGATGGCCCACCAGCTGCGCTGCGTAAAAATTTGATTAGCTTGAATGGTTGACTTAATAATGTCTATTTTTAACTCTGCCTCGGCTTGATAGCTAAGGCCTTTCTTTGCCCTTCATTTTCACCTACATGGGTTCAGCTTTACATGGGTAGGCACCGACACGTTTTGCAGCAAGAGCTTAATCTGAGTGAGACAGTGAGGCAGAAACATGTCGACGACTCTGAAAATGGTGACTGTTTGTACGCGATTTAATGGAATTTGGATAGGCCGTATATGCATCCATATGTTAAAAAGCTAATGGGCAAAGGAGTGGCTTTACCTGAGCCAGAAATTCGGCCACAACTGAATATTGTATTCTGTATCAAAAAAAAAGAACTCGGGCTAAGACGTTTCAGTATATTCCATGTACAGGTATTGCATGAAGTTGCTGTTTTGTCCTGCACAGTGTTTTGGAATCGATTTGTACGCAGTTGTAAGAGAAAAAATATAGTTACTGATTAATAATTGAAATAAAGGTAACTGTTCCACCTGACTGGATGTTTTAAAAGATGTTACTGTCATTTTCTTCCGCTAGAAATATTGTTTAAAATTAAAAAAAAAAAAAACTAGATTCTAGATAATTATTACTCCTATTTTGTAGCGATGTGTTTTTTGAATAACGCACTAACAGCTACTAAAATAAGCCTAGACAAACTCCAGCTAACTTTTTGTACGCATACGGTCTTCCCCTATGTTTGTTGCGTCGTATTTTTTACACTGTTTACGTAATAGATCGACTGCAGATCGTAAATAAATCTGTTACATCTTACCTTCATCCTGCCGGTACGTTATTCAAATATCTTGCGTTGACGTCCTAATTCAATATTATCGAGCCTCTTAGCACCGATAATTTAAGCGCAGACGAATTACGTAAAAATGATACTGAATAGCGAAACTCACCAGGCAGCTACGAATGGCTTCTGCACTGTGCAAGCCACCGCATCTGATTAGCTTCACCTCTTCCCGAAGACTTTGTACTTCTTCACCATTTATAATGCTGGTAGAAGAGTATCGACTGAGGACAACACTACCTTGTCCCATCCAATGCTCGGCTTTAACCGTGCGAACTATTCACACGGAGTATGATTACTAGTGACACTTAAGCTTTTCCTTTAAAAGCGACCCCTTTTGGAATACTCCTTTGTGTGACACCAGTATCTTATGCTGTAGCTACATTAAAAGTAAAAGCAAAGATTCTGGGTATTTTGCATAACATCAGTGCACCGACTAGCGCAGAGGAGCTGCACAGTGTGGTATAACACCAATATAATGCAAATAAGCGGGCTATCTATCTTGTTTTAAGCATCTGGTTCTTGTAAATGCAAATTC